ACCTCCCAAGAAGGAATTTATATCACGTAATATAAGCTAATCTGAATTAACTTATTCACGCCGCATACGGACTACGAATCAGAAGGAACTTACACCAAAGCGAAGAAAAAGGAAAGGAAAGAAAAGAGAGAAGAAAAGAGACTGGAAGTTTATAAAAAAAGGAAAAAGAAAAGGTCCAGCTGATTGTCAAACCCGTTAAGGAAGGACAGCAAACGTTGCTATTACTCCGTCAACGTTTACGGAGAATTAAGGTGTGGGAACGTTGTTGATTTGGTCTTTCAAAAGCACAGAAGGTCTGCTGTTTGTGACTGCATAGAGAGAGAAGAAAGAAGAAAGGGGGAGGGAGAGAGAGAGAGGAGGGAAGGAGGGAGGGAGAGAAAAGAAGAAAGAGGAGAGGGTGAGGGAGAAGATAGATAGAGAGAGAGAGAGAGAGAAGAGAGAGAGAGAGAGAAGAGAGAGAGAGAGAGAGAGAGAGAGAGAGAGAGAGAGAGAGGGGGGGGGGGGGAGATGAAAAATGAGAGAGAGAGAGAGAGCGTAATGAACACACGCACATGGAAGACCAAGAAAAAAACATAAAAAAACATTACACCTACAATTACATATATTTCACGTGTGATGAAAGACAAAGACAGGGGAGAGTGACCGTGTGTGTGTAAGCCGGTGAGGAACAACCGTTAGAGCAAAAATGAGTTTCTGTTAAAAGGAAGGTAGAATGTTTTTGATGGTACAATACTAGTGTTTATCGTGTGTACTGCACGTGGGTGTTCAGAGCGTTACCGTGTGTAGTCTCTGTCACACAACTACACTCATGTACCGTGTAGCGTAGCACAGAATCCGCGCAAACAGGTAATTATTCATAATACGAGATTTCAAGGCAAAAGTTTTTGTCTATGATGATTACTAGTATCATTTTACTACTACTGCTACTACTACTATTACTATTATTAGTTGTTCTTATTATTATCCTCACCATCATCATTATCACTATCCTCATTATCACTATAATTACTGTTACTATCATTACCATTACCATATGATTATCATTACTTTTGTCATTACCATCGTTTAGTAAAATTATTGTTTGCTTCTCTCATCTTAAAACTCAAATATCCCGTGCATGTAGGCAACGTCAAGGCGCTCTTAAATCCCTCAAAGGATGGATAAAGTGAGGGAAAATAATTACTAAAGTGGCAATATTTCAAACATGACATAAAGGGCCTTTAACTCGAGTCGAGCGTTCGGTAGGGGGCTAGTTTTTATTTAGGTAATATGGGCGTAAAAAGTGGTTGTTCTCATCCATTATGAACTGGGCTTTTTTTTTTGCAGCGAAATGTGCAAGTGTTCCTGTTTGCGCTAAATATTTTTCATGAACTGATTGTTATTCTGGTTACCCTCTGTCTTTATCTCTCTTTCCCCCTTTTCTGTCTTTATCTGTTTGTCTAGCTCTGTCTCTGTCTTTCTTTCTTAACCTTTAGTTGTTTGTGCATAAGGTCTTCTCTGTCCTCTCTTTATATCTGTTCCTCTCTCTCTTTCTTTCTCTCTCTAGCTCTCCTCCCCCCACTCTCTCTCTTCTTCCCACTTTCTCGTATTCTACCTGTTATATTTGATTCTAGATTGGCTGAATAAAAAATAAGTCGAGGAAATGTAATTGAAAACCAAGAAACAAGCAATATCTTGGGTCGGCTTGTTCTGAACTAATATAAACCACTCATGCGTACATTCTTCTCCAAATATGCGACGCAGGTTATATTGGCGTGTTTGGTTGGCCTGTCTGCCTGCCAGTTCAACCGGCCGGCCACCGTTGGCGCGCCTCCGATCCCCATTCTGTACGACGATCGCAATGGCCCGGACGTTTCGGGCGCCTACGACTTCAGGTATTTAATCACCTATCTGTTTTGGGTCTTACGTCTCCATTTCACCGAGTTGGATGTTGATTGAAATACAAGCTTTATGCAAATGAGGTGCATTTCGAAACACCCAAAAAGCCAAATGAATTTTTGAAAGAGAACGAAATTCTTGCAGCTACGGAACGGGCAATGGGATAGCACACCAGGAGTCTTCCCGTCCCACTGGCGTTGATACCTTCGTCGTGGAGGGATCGTACAGGTAAGGACAACGACAACTAAGTAATGATGACACAAGAAAATAAATGTGCTAGACATCAAAGGTCATATAGCACTATGGTATTGTTTTTTTTTTCTTTGTTAGAGTTGAAATGTCATATTTCAACGGTCATATATTTCATGATAGTATAGTAGTTAAAGGAGTAGAAAGAGTGGGTAGATGAGGTAGGATAGGTATTGAAGAATAGAGGAAGGGTCAATCATATAGACCTGATCTAATCAACTCAGTCCCAAACGATTGTACCAAAATTAACCTTATGCTATGTGATAAAATCAAATCGTGCCAACACGGATAAACCAACCAAAGTATACGAGAGCTCAACAGGTACTTAATACGTCTCTCTCTCTCTTCCTCTCTCTTTTTTCTCTCTCACTCC